GAAATGTCCACCTGAGCCTGTAGCTGGGATAATGCCTGAGCTCACGTGGCTAAATGGCTTCCCCTGGAGAATCAGTCTGGAGATCCTCTTAACTTTCCACAGGTTAATACCAAAGCAGAAGTGACTTAGCAATTCCGAGACTCTGTCGGATTACCGAGGGAGGGTGTTAACTGTGGTTTCCCTTATCTTTAAATAACAATTTCCTGTATTAGCCTCTCATCAAGATGGTGCCAGGCAAACCCAGCGGTGATTCTGCTTATCCCACCACAACCAGAGGAGGCAAGAGATGAGGGGGATGGGTAGCCTTCCTGTATTTGGGACACTTTCTTGCCTGTCAGTCCTGGGAAAATCTGGACTCAAAATAGAAGACCTTCCTCCATGGAGCCACACCAGGTCAAGATTGTAGAGTTGTGGCATTAACCTCCCTGCCATGATAGGAGGATCAGGGAAGCGTAGGACTCAGCAGGGTCCCGTCCTGAAGAAGTCAGTTTCCATTCTTGTCCCATGCCCCACTGACCATTAAATTCAGTTCCATCCCCCATCTGAATTACTACGGGCCTCATCTAAGGAGTAAGTTCACAAAAAGGAAATGTGGGAGAAAAGTTATTAGTCATCTCTGGGAGGTACATCCCATCTAGCTCACCAGCAAGATGGCCTACCAGGTGGCTCATTCTACCTGTGGGAGAGTTAAAGAGAAAGGGTAAAGAGGAGTCACCCAAGGTCATGTGATCTGATGGTTGAGCTGGGTCCCTAGGGCAATGTGGAGTCACCAAATACAGGGGCAAAAACCCTGCATATTAATCAGAGGTGCTTATGGTTTGGGATGTAGTGGTAGGATGAGACTGGCATTGACTGGTGTCTGGAAAAATTTTTCACTTTTCTTTCTTTTATCCACAGAAGCACCGTATGGGCTGAATTAATCATTAAGTGTTTTGTTTTGCATGGCGTATCTCTCTCTTTAGATCTTCTTTAATTTCTCTCAACAAATGTTTTACAGTTCTCAGTGTACAGTTCTCGTACGTGTTTTATTAAATTCACCTTAAATATTTCATGGCTCGTTATGCTATTGTAAAGGGTAATTTTGTTTCACCTTCTAATTGTTTACTGGAGCCCTGGTGGCA